TATTAACAATATACTAACAATTCTAGTATCACTGGGAGAATTACAGAACAATGTTTTGCCAATTACGAGTCAATGGTAGAGAGAGCTCGAAAGATTTTTCCGAACAGTTTGACAGTTACTTTAAAAGAAGAATGTTCTCTTGAGGGTTTCTGTTTGAGAAAGGAATTAATACTGCACCTGTCTGAACTTCCTCTGGGGACGTAGGTGGAGTTAGAGTTACTGAAGACATGGCAGGATCTCTGGTGGTAGCAGGCACTTGGTGGACACCCAAGCAAGTAGTTGAACAATGAGAAGCCCCAACAGTACTAGGAGCAGGGATATCTGTTTGAGGAACTAAGACAAAGCATGCTGGGTAGACCATTCGCACACCCGCTGGGAAAAAAAAAAAGGGGGGGGGGGAAGAATAACAAAACACAAGTCATTGTATATCCAACTCCATTTAGGAATAGCCATGAGACCACTAGGAAGTTTTGTATTGTGTGCTTGCTAATAAAAAAGACACGATCATAATTCCAATTGTAGCTTTTATAAATTCCATGCAAAGCCTGTAAGAAGTCAGGAGCCCTGAAGACAATAATGTAGCTCTTTTCACTATTTTACAAGCAAGAAACCTTTCTATGAATAGTCACATTGTTGCAAGTTTGATCTTTTGTATGTAATTATGTTGATATAAGCACTGCAATACTGACAGCTCTTCAAATGTGTCCCAATGAAGTCCAAACACCTGTGCATAGGTGTCTCCAGCCATGTGAGCTAGCTGCACCCCCTTTACTAGCTACCCTTGATCAAAATTAATATTCCTTCAACTGTTATCCTAAATGCACGTTACTTGCAAGTCATTCAACGCAAATGTATTCAATAGTTTCTCCAATAAAGCAGTCTCCTTCACCTACAAGACTCTTTGCCATCTTCTTCATAATTTCTATTCCACTTTGCACAAGCAGGCAGGTTATACATACCGGCAGCATGGTGCACAGTGTTGTTCATGATGCAGTGTTGTTTTGATGGAAGCCTCTTAATTCTACTCCCTTCCTCTCCTGTCTTTACCAGCTCCCACCCTCATCCCCCCCAGTACACTCCTCTCCCCATTAGGCCCTTCTGTGCTACCACGAAGGAAACAATTAACTTCAGGAGGAAACCTTAAGGCTTTTGTGAGGGTTCAGCTTTGCAGAAAGAAAATCACTTATCTGCACTGGTTTAATTGCAAAGTTAAGGGGTTTTTTCCTCCACTTTTTCCCTTACTCTTTTTAAATAGTGGGAAATAATGAGAAGTTACCTTCTGTGGCTAGCTTCCAGGAAAAAGACTGAGTCAAAAGATGGGTTCAAACACACGCTATCATTAATTTAGACTGTATGCTGTCTATATTACAATATTTTTTCCTACAAAAATTCAACTTCCTCTAAAACTTCATAAAGCAAGGTTTAGGACAAGGTACATTTCATGGTGGAACCATAAAGAGAGACTTTGATTATAAGTTACTTGGCTAAAAAGGGCAGAGTGAGGGGAAGTAAAAGGTGATAGTCATTAATATTTTGCTCTCCTAGAAACCAAAATGTAGTTTCAGTGTTTCCTCAACTTGTATTGGCTATCAGATGATGTCAGACTATGGCTTCTGTTCATATACAGTACAGAAATTCAGAGACACCAGTGTAGAGTCCAATTAGGTTTCCGACTATAAGGGTTCTGGCTGGTCAAATAGACCCTCTTTACATCCCAAATTGTCACACCAGGTACAAAAGAACGGTTAGTACTACAAAGACAATGGGCACTCTTTGAGCATCTCTTAAATCGCTCAACTGCACAGCCCAGCAGGTGTGCATCCCCCAGCCACTCTGAACTAGAAGCACTGTCAGCAGATCGAGGGACATGATTATGCCCCTCTACTCAGCACTGGGGAGGCCACATCTGGAGTGCTGCGTCCAGTTTTGGGCCCCCACTACAGAAAGGATGTGGACAAATTGGAAAGAGTCCAGCAGAGGGCAACAAAAACGGTTAAGGGGCAGGGCACATGACGTATGAAGAGAGGCTGAGGTAACTGGGCTCATTTAGTCTAGCGTAAAGAAGAGAAGATGGAGGGGGGATTGAATAGCAGCCTTCAACTACCGGAAGGGCAGATACAAAGAAGATGGAGCTAAACTGTTCTAGTGGTGGCAGGCGCTAGAACAAGGAGCAGTGGTTTCAAGTTGCACCAAGGGAAGTTGAAGTTAGACATTAGGAAATCTCACTCACTGAGAGAGCGTGGTAGTAAAACACTTGAACAGGTTACCCAGGGAGGTTGTGAAATTTTCATCCTTGGAGGTTTTTAAACCCAGCTTGACATAGCCTTGACTGGGATGATCTAGTTGGGGATGGTCCTGCTTTGAGCAGGGGATTAGGACTAGATGACCTCCTGATGCACCTCCTAACCTGAATTTTCTATGATCCTATGGCATATTATTTACAGCAAAGAATAAAAGTTACCGGTGCAGAAACCTGTTACCAATAAAATGTCTTAGAGGACTATGGTTTACTTTGAAGAAGTAAACAAACCCCTAAGCAGCCTGATCATTTCAGTTAGGAAAAGCAGCGACATTTGTTCATAATACACACCAACAAGGACTTCCACAGCAGCCAGAGAATCATCTTCCCAATCCATCTCTTCTTGTTTTTCCTCAGAGCCCTCCTTCAAGTTAGATGTGATGGGATAGAACTGTTTCCATTCACCAATAAGCTTTTTTGTGGACGAGTCCGACAGCTTGAATGACTGTCCTGTGAGCGTGCCATTTAATCCAAAAGGACTTAGAATAACTTGAAATACAAAAAGAAATAGTTACTAAAAACATCCAGAGACCAGCCAGCACTATCTCCACAAGAATAAAGGTATCACCATTTCAGACAGCATCTACCACTAAATAACCCATTTTAAATTGACAGGTTAGGCTCACTACAGTGCAGTACAATATAAAGAACCCAATACCAACATCTTAGAGGAAGAATTTATTGTACCTCATTAAAATGTATATGTACTGAAAGAACAGGATGAGTTATAAAAGAATCAATGCATCATAACAGTAGTTAGAAATTAATCCACTTAAACATCTGTGACAGACAAATTTCATCATGAGTATGTAACTGTCTGCCTACGTGGCCAGTAAAGAAAGGTACTCAAATGAATTAAATGTCATCTAAAAGGCTGATTTAGCTTTTGTCCCAACACAATGTTAACTGCTGCCTTACACACCAGATGTAGGGGTCTCATTCATTTGGCTACAATCGCTGGAACAAAAAGATGACATAGGTCAGACTTCCTGGTGGACAGTCTTGTCCACATTGGGAAAGGTAGGTGTTAATCAGCAATGGGCACCAGCTTAACTGCAACTGTGCAGTTAAACTGCTTTCACAAAGGGCAAGTGTACAACAGGGTAAGTCGCATTCAGCGTCATTTTAGGAAGAGTGTTCATTTCACAGGCCTATTGTGCTGCCACGCAGGACAACGGGTTGCTGTCGGCAGTACAGGGGCCCACTCTCTAGGACAGGGGAACATTCAAACATACAGCACGTTGGCTAGACTCAGGCCCAAGAGCTCAGACTCACAGCCAAGGGCTGGTGCTAGAAAGGAAAGAGCTGAGGAGAGATGCATACCTAGCTTTTCTGCTCCTTTTCCCTCCTCCTTGGCATAAGCCCACGTTTAGATGAGCTCAGAAGGAAGCCATCATGAACAAAAAACCAAAACACCTACCTTGAAAAGGGCTGTTTGACTGCTGGGCCAGAGTGAGGTGCTCCTCGCTAAGCAGGTACACAGGTTGATGCTGACTGATTTCCACACTGGTGCAGACATTGCTGTCCCCATGCAAGAAAAAGGTGAAGGAGCAGGACAAGTGCTCACTGGGAACAAAGAAGGAGAAACATTACATAAGTACAGATACAATTGCTAAGATTTGAGATTGATTCGGGGACACCATTTATCTTTGTTAATGAGCATCTTGGTCTTCAATAAAGCATTCACAACCCTTCACGTAAACTGTGACCTTTCGCAGTGCTCTTACAATATCCAAAAGGGCTTCTAGTATAAAACAAAAAGATCACAAAAAGAAAAAGGAACACCCAAACCCCATGCACTTCACCTTTCAAAAAGGCTTTGATCACCACGAAACAAGAGATGGAAACTTAATTCTAACAACACTCCTTTACAGATCACCTTTAAACAAATCTATAAGAACCTTATAGTCAAAGTTGTAGCAATATTGATATAAAGCTTCCAAAACGTGCGCGCACGTGCGCATGCGCGCACACCCACCCACCCACCCCTACTACTGCCAATAGCCAAACATTGCTATTCTTTGGAGTGCTGAATTCAAAAGCACTCACAATCTCCTCTTACACACATCCTACCTAAGCAATCCCGATGAATTTTAAATTGGGAATACTGGCCACAGAGATTTTTAGAAAGCGGGGCTGTCCAACTTCTAAACAGCCAGGGGCAGCATGACACACAGGCTGCGCTGATGTGAGCCATGGGCCCAGACGCCACACACCATCCTTACTGCACCCCAAGTGTAGGGACTCCCTGTGCCACCCACCAGTGCAACACATGCATGGGTAGGTGCCACCCCTTCCCACTCCTGCACCACACACATGGTTGGCCCCCACCTCGGCTCCCTCCCTGCATCACGCTGGCTGTCCCATCCATCCCACCTCCATGGTGGGACTAGGAAACAAAGGCTGAAGAAGGGACAGGAGCCTAGAGACCCCAGCAGTGACAGGAGGATAGGACTCAGGAGTAGTCCCATATTAACCCCTTTCAAGCCACCATTTGGACAGCCCTCCTTTAAAGCAAAGTTTAAACTTCCCAGTTTGAAATTTCAATAGTGCTTCTTTGGCACACCATAAAATTATTTCAAAAAAATCTCATCTGCAGATTCCTAAAGCCTGTCTTGCTATTAAAACCTAATTTTCCCATTTATGCACAAAAAATACTACCAATAAAGTTATATAATAAAGTGACAAATTATCAAACAAAAAACCATTATAGGAACTCTGTCTTATTTATGATGCATCAGGGATCTAACCCTACTTGCTCAATGCAAGCTGAAAAGAGAAAGACTTGGAAACTTAAAATTAGTATATAAAATTCTGTAAAGCAGCGATAGATAATAAATGTTTAAGTACCCGCTTAATACAACTCAATGAAGTAGAGAAACACTGATTATGTAATGGCAATCCTCAATACTTAAGGAAAAAACTATCAAAGCATTATGGATTGTTGGTTTTCAGAAATGAAACAGAAACTTTCACCCACACAGATCAGTATTTGGAGCCTCTCTTTTTTTTTTTTTTTTAAATAATCCACCCAATAGAAGCTTAACATTGAAGATTTTTCCTTTGATCACTCTTCCTCCACACACAGCTACTTGATCAGGATTAAAATTACTAATTTCAATGCTGGTCTGAAGCAAAATAAGCAAAGAAAACAATTGTAATTACAATGGTAATTAGGAACAGCAGATACCTGGCTTATACAAGTACTGGTATACACCAGTTCCTATGTTCCTGTAGTCATAGGAAAGCTATGTGTGACACACCCAGATCACATAGGTTCTTCATGTAGGATACACTGACCTGACCGTAATTCATTGTCAAAGAGACAAGACAATCCAAGCGAAACAAATTCCAAGAGAGGATAAGGAAAGGAGAAGTGCGTCTGGGCAGACCCAAGGACTGATGTCTCCATTAGACACTGTTCTAGCAACCACTTAACTGCACCTATTTTTTTTTTGATCAAGGTCATTTTTCTGTTCATTAGGAGATGGATAGTTAAATAGAAGATGTGGAAGAATACAGCAAAACTCCCCACCCCATCTACTGCAAAGAGTGGACTGGATTTCCTGAAGCCTCTCTCAAACAGTCCATTTGCTCCTACACTGGCTACCCCAAAATGCAGAAAAAGTTGGTTAAATACTAACACATTACATGAGGGACGCATCATTTCTATTATCATGACTGGCAAACGGGTCACAAACACTGAAAAGAATCTATGACAGTAAATGTTCCTAACACCGAACTAAAGTAGTAACGATTTTTGTTTGAGAGTTTTTGGATCTATGGGATCTAATCCAACAGTGCAGAGTGCAAGACCATGCACTTAGGGACTACTAAGAATTACCAACATAAACTGGGAACTCAGATGGAGAGGGAACAGAAAGACCTGGGTGTCTAAGTTGATCACAGGGGGACTGTGAACCACTAATTTTAAAACAACCAAGGAAAAAAGGCTTAAAATCATAGCATCTGACAATTCACAGCACCTGTCTTGCCTCTCTGAACTGGTCAGTCTCTAAGGTGCCACCTGGACTTATTTTCTGTTTGACTATAAGACTAGCACGGCTGACCACCTCTACGCTCCTAAGATGCAAGATATTTCCAGTAAGACGGGGCAGCAGTAGTCACTGTACGAGACACTTGTGAGACCTCAGTGGAATACTGCATCCCCGCAAACAAGAAAGATTAATTCAGACAGAAAAAGGTGCAGTGAAGGGCTACAAAGATAAACCTAGGGAGAGGAGATTACAAGAGCTTGGCTTGTTCAGGCTAGTAAAAGGAAAGCTAACGAGAGGCAGGATTGCTTTATCCAAATACACTGCAAGAAGCAACACAAGGAAGGGAGAATGGCTACTTTATGCTAAAAGACAATGCTAGCATAAAAACAAATGAGTATAAGATGGCCAGGAATAAAATTCAGGACTGAAACTGGAATGTTTCTTGCTGCCCAACCAGTGAGGTTCTAGGATCTCCCATTTAGAGCAGCTGGAACTACTTGATGAATTGAAGGGACAGGCCTAGAGGGCAACTCCTAAGAAAATACTGAGCAGTCATGACAGTCTGGAAGGGACACATTCAGAATTTGAGTGTACACATTATCTTAAAGGGCAACAACCAGAGGAACAAGAGAACCAACACCAACAGATAGCTAATTAGCATAATCTTTTATAATGATCCAGCTCTAGGCAATAAGCTCCTGAAAGAACAGAGCGTCACTCTGGAATCCCAATAAACCTACCTCTTACAACTTAACGAAGATGACGTTTGAGTTAAATATCCTCAGGAGGTGCTTAAGTCCCAGTGAAACAAGCAGTCAATGCCAACTTGGCATACTGGGACCTGAGAAATAATGAACGTAAAACACCTATTTGAAGACTGTGGAGACAGCGTATTGAATCACACAGGGCCTCTCCGCTTCTCTTATCCAAGTGTCTTTTATAAATGCATATCAGATAACATTTTAAAATACACCCAAATGAAGACTGGGCAAGTTAAATTTGAAATCACATTAAGATGCATGAAAGGAGAAAACTTATGCATTTACCTGGCCAGCTAACAAGTTAAAGTAAAGCTCGTCCCAGTAATGCAACAATAAGGTTTTGAAGCGGGTTAGCCAATACATTGTAAAAATATACCTTGTACCTGTGTAGACAGGCCCTTAGTAATCCCTTATCAAGTTGCTCAAAGTGTGAAGGGTAGCTGTCCGTAATGGTACTAACAGCCAGTATGATACTGTTTGTGGCACTGGATTATCACAAAAATGTAAGTGCGCCAAATGTTTAGGGGTACAGGTTGTAGCCGTGTTGGTCTAAGGACATAAGCAGACTAGGTTCTTTGGGTAATATCTTTTATTAGACCAACTCACATAGCAAGCTTTCGGGCACAAACACCCTTCGTCAGGCTGAGGAAGCATCATTACTGGGACAATGAGGGATGCTTCCTCAGCCTGATGAAGGGTGTTTGTGCCCGAAAGCTTGCTATGTGAGTTGGTCTAATAAAAGATATCACCTTTACCCAAAGAACCTTGTCTGTTCAATGTTTCGAGTACCAAAACCAATCTTAAGAATAGAAGAGGAGCAATTTTCTCCCCCTTCTCTGGAGTAAAAGCACTGCTTCCTGCCTCTAACTGCTCCAAGAAGGCTCCTCAAAGAGACAAAGATTCATAGTCATGTAATTTAGAAGGACATGGTCCTTCAAGCTGCCCAGAGCTCAAGAACAACAAAAGAAAATGAATTTGTGCTGGGAGGCAGCCTTCGCTAAGCACAGAAAAAGGAGAGAGAGAGAAGCAGCCACGGTTGGCAGTCACATCACTTTAACAGCCACGTTACCGCTAAAAGAAGGCGAAAGTTTGCAGCTGCTGTCACAGTGCACATGGAAACAGCTGAAGACAGCTTCAAGACCAGAGAAACCTAGTTTTTTCATCCACACCTGAAGGGCAAGTGAAGTGTGGTGAAATCCATCCCAACTGTAACAATGTTAATACAACAAGGGAAGATAAAAAAAAGATGCTAGTATCCACATCAAGGGGCACGGCTCTTGAAGTCATCTTGTAGAGGAGTACAGCACAATTCATGCACAGCTGCAATTAAAATACTGCCGCTAACGATGGGGCATGTTTTGCTGATCACGCAGGATTAAAACGTTCTGTAAAATGTAGCTGGTCCCCAACCCTGAAGCCTTACCAAGGGAGCTGGATGTCGGACCGACAAGCACTCAAATGTCTTCTGGAGACAAATTAACCTTGTCTTTTTTTTAAAATGCATCTCTAGCTTGAACTGCAAAAGTAAAGAGTTTTAGGAAGATAAATAGAATAAAAATCTTCTCATTAACTGGTCACCCTGTCTCCTTTGCTCTAAGCCTTTATAATCATGACCAACTGCATGTTTTTGCACATTTAATTTCACTAATTTTTGACAAATTAATAGCTACCTAGAACCTGAATATTCCAGGAGCAATATCAAATGTTCATGAAAACACTACAGAACACTTACAAAAGAAGTGCTATGAAAAGGGTACCTAAAATCTCAAGTGAAGGTCTTTGAAAAGCCATCTCTGATTACAAAGAC